GTGTCCAATACCTGTTAGTTTCTTTCAATTAAAATAGATTTTCGAAATTCCGGAGTTATCCTGGTATTCGCACGGAATTATTAAAATCTCTCATTTCCCTTTAATTATTTCTAGTTTTACTGGTCTGCAGTAGTTTCTATTTCGTCTTTTAGAAGCAGTTTCTCCTTTGCACTGTCAAAATCCATGCTCTTCAAAGTCGTGTCCGTTTCTGAGGAACTCCACAAGGCTAACACAAATACTTTGTAAATTTTCAAATCATTAGGGTTAATGCTGCATCGAGTTTCCGGAAAGGAAGATAAACGGCAGGATAAAGTCGACCCGATGCATTGTCTAAATCACCTTATCCAGGAATACTGCACCTCCTTTATATTTCGTTTTCCTCTCGTTATGTGTATGCTACTGTTTTGCTTTCAGTTTCTGCGTAAGAATCTGTAATTTAATGAGAGAGATTAGGGGCACTGGTATACTTCAACCTCGGTTACTTTTACTCCTGAAAGAAACAAAGATCTGAATGAGATATGAGATTTTAGTGCCTAGTTTATATTAACCCGATGTTTTTTTGCGCACACTCTGCGCTTTTCGAGATAAATTCTGCCCCAATTCGAGTGAATTTTCTGTCTTCCGTATGTTCAATTCCGACTTCAAATCCATTGTTAGATCAACAAGAACACAGCTGCAGGTTCCACGATTTTTCATTGTTCAGAATACACCACCGAATTTTTTTGACCTTCACATGTGTATGTGTAAAACGTTAAGTTTAGAAATTTTACAAGATAAAGAAAGGAACAGGTTATCTGCAAGTTCAGTTACCGTGATTTCAGCTTCCTTGGCTTCCAGCTGCTGCCTGTAGACGACGCATTCCGGGCAAACATTTAGTGCTACAGCTGCTGCCATTGCAGCAAATATGAATATATATTAGTAGAAGAGCTATTCAGTAAGCTAAATTAGTGTTAGTAGAATGAATATTTAATCCGAGCGCTTTCTACATAATAGTGGTACTCCTGGTGGCAAGCCCTGAAACCAGTTCACGTTTCGAGAAGCGTTTTCTCAAAACACGCAAAAATTTTAGCTTTGCGATGAAAATACGCGAACACAACGAAACTGTAGATTTTTTGGACCTCAATCCTGAACATTTAGTTCAGAAATTCCAAGGAAAAATGACACCAAAATGCAAGTTGAGAGGTGAAAAATTCAATGCAAGGGATTTTCATTCTATGATTATCAAGGTAAAACAAGGGGCCAGTAAATATACGGATCCGAAGCTGCGCTGATTTTTCTTTTGATGCATCCTCAAGCCCCGTCAAATTATCCCCGACCCCTCTGATTCTGCTTAGCAGCATGTTCGTTTCATTTAGCAAAAGAAAATTTTTGGGACAATTTTCACCAGGACGTATCTTTGAAAGTTCGTTCCTCTTGAACATTCCCTTAGTTCGAAGCACTTCTTGTGCAATCTGAAAAGCTAGAAAAGCTGCAAAAATTAGCCATGTCATTCATCTTTTTAAGCGGTTTTTCAGAACTGTAATAAAATTTAACAGCTGCAGAGAAATCCTGGGATACCAGTTTTGCACGAAAATAAAATTTTGCAAAAATCAAAACTGATGAAAACGAAGTTCAGTCGGAAGCAATGACATAAGGAAAAAAATCGCACGAATAACTGGACGGAAGAACACTTGGAAGTGGTGCCCATAACAGGGAAAAGGGTGGCGGATGTGGCAGCCAGGTGAGGGATGAAGAGGGGAGAGGAACGGGGGAGACGGGGCCATCCGTGGCAAATAAGGCCACAATTCGTCAGGTCAGGCTTCTTCTCCGGTTCTTCTTAATCCAGGGAAATCCCTGGCCTTCCTACACTGCCCCTTTCCACTGAGCGTGTCCTCGGCTTCTTATCCAAACACACAAATTCGTCACAGTAGGTGCAGTCCCAAAAAATAATACACACACCCTGAATACACGTAAAACACGCAATTTGATCACGTATTTAAAAGATTAAAAACTGTGAAATCACAAATCTAGTTGTGCCAAAACGCATGGCGTAAAAATACGGAATATTGGGATGGCAGGCATAGGAAGTACCAGTCATACAGTGAAGAGGTACAGAAAAAAATATGGAAAATACGTCCAATAATTACACACTTTAAGCAGATAAATCTCGAAATTCACATGCAAAAATCATCCCTGTATTTTTCACACATATAATGAAAAAAGAAGTAGATTTTAGGTGGATGATAATCCGAATCTGCTCCGAGCAACACATAAAAACAAACGATGAGCAGATTGCTGGTAACACATGTAAAATACATACATTATGCACAAAATACAGACATCGATTACGTGAAATACACAATTATTATATCTCTAAATTTATAAAAAATGCAGAGTCCTGTCTCTACAAGTAAATTTTTTAAACGAATAAACGCAGAAAGTTTTTTGGAGTTCAAAATCTACGCGAAAAAAAAAAGAAGCTTTTATATATAGCCGTCATTAAGCAGCTTTTATACAGATGCTTATCTTGATAACACTTACCACATTGTGGTGCCGATTTTACGATCGTAACGTTAACTGGCAATTTTCTGATGGCTGTGTTTTGACCGGTGCTGCATCACGGTCACTCGATGGTCACTCTGTTGCTGTTGTTGCTGCTGCTAATCATCCTGGCGTTTGTTTCTCCGCTTTGCTTTGTCATATTTGCATAGTCCGGTGTGTGTGTTTACAGCTAAGGGATGAAACACAGACTGCATCGTAAAATATCACCTTACTACTACATCTAAACGATGAAAGACAGTTTGAACCGTAAAATATCACCTTACACATGACGACTGAGTACAATCCTTCTGACCTATTAGTTCCCATTGCGGTTGAGTGCCCCTTCGTTTCTGTAGTATTTCATCTCAGTGCCTAACAAAATTACATCCCCCGCTGGAAACACTCTGAAAAAAGCCATACACGAAAACAGGAAGAGCAGTAAAGGCCTACCAGGAACTAATCGTTGCCGGATGGGAATGTCTACATGTTTGAGCTGGACGACGTTTTGTAATAAAAAGCGTAAAGAGCAGTTTGTACAATTTATCGGTCAAAAACTACTTATTGCAGATTCGCAGAAATCAGGAGTCGTTATATTTAGAGTAAGGGAACAACGGGACGTGGTGAACGAAGTTTACCAAAACGTCTTATCTCACTCTTACCTCCTTTTCTCATCTGCTGTTCCCTCATCATGCTGTAATCTATCGCGCCTTCACCATTTAGGCTCCCAGGGTCAACCTGGTTGCTACAATCGGCTTATAATGCAAATTATTACAAATTATCATAATTTTATGCAAGATTTTCGCATTGGAACTGCAACAAATTTGATTGTCATTCGGAGTTTCAACCTTCATAATCTCGGTATGCCACTTTGACATGTGGTCTGCATCGGTGATAAAACCACTTTCGATGTAGTTCTTGCAACGTGGAAGATTGATTCGTCGGGTGCCAATTTAGTGGTGTGGATGGCTTGAGAGATCGGAAAAACGGGGCTTGCGATGCGGTGATG